TTATTAAAGTAATAGTACATTGTGTAACAATAGTTTTATGAAAAATATATTAATATTGAAATTTAAATACCTTATTATTAAATAATAAGTAATTATGCATAAGTAGATATAATAAGTAAAGTAACTAAAGATTTACTGCTTCTTGATCAATGAGATGGGTGTGCCTGGTGTTTTTTTGCAAGGTTCGCTATATTGGGTTCAAAATTGGTCAATTTTAATTTTCGTCAAAATTGGTCAATTTTGTAATTTTCGTAAAAAAATACAAAGTGTGCTATAGTTTTGTCGCGGGCTGTACTAATCCATATTATTAATGCTTACCTTCTTTTTTGTGCATTGATAATTAAAATTGATATCTAAACCAAACGAATGGTTTTATCGAAACAATAACTAATTATCCAAAACTATAAAAGTTTTAATAATGACACTGCAAATATTCAACACAGTTTGCAAAGATAGCTGAAACTGCGTATGATATTTGCATTTGTAACGTCAATGCTCGTCACACGTGACATTTGGACAAGCGCACATATGCATATGACTTATAAACTGCGCTGAGCTCGTGCCACTGCTCGGTGGTACGTAAAGACTTGTTTCACCCCAATAAATATACGTTTAGTAATTTATGTTTTATAAAGAAACTGATATTGAGTCAATTATAAAAAAACTTCACAAATTTTACATTCTTAATTAGGTATGTGTGATTTGCGTATTGAGAACTGTTTTTATTTTCGACCTACAATCGGCCCTTCCGATTCGGGTCGACCCCCATTCGCCCCCCTGTCTCAGATCGACCCCCGCTTTTGTTAAATAGACCCCTGGGGGTCTATATAGACCACATTGGCGACCTCTGCTCTAGCATTAGAGAGGAAACTATTTAAATACTTCCCTGGGCTTATTTTTTAGGGGATAATTTGATACAAATTGATAGTAATTATATCTACCAGCTGGAACATAGTTCTTATTTAACGTAACGATAAGATCGTCAGTATTGTCGATAATGGTAATTATTTAATCGGGTGTAATCATTACTTTGATAAATTTCATTTTTGGAACGAAGTATTCACCAATTTAAAAATAATATTTTAAAAAAATATAGAGCTATGTCCCAAAATATCAATATTTCTTTACGATAAATAGCAATATTAAAATTCCGATTCCATCCAGTACTTCTCAATACATTCGTTAATTTTATGATGTATGATTTAAATAAGTACTTTTAGATGCTAAGTACAAAATATAACACGCAGTAAACATTAACACAAAACCGTCACTAATGCATATGCTACAAGAGTTATATATTTTTATGCTACCCTAATTTATTTAAATACGAAGCGATTACCCATTTAGCAATCAATTCAATACAATGATTTAATACAATGATTATAGATTGAGAATCGCTCAGCAACCCCGGGCTAGAAATATAATAGTGCGCAGCCATAAGCGCTTCCGTATTACGGGCTGGCTTTTCGTGTGCTTATGAGTTGGTACTTTTATTTATTCATTTTACCTCAATTTCATGTTTACTAAATGTAAGAGTTGAAATTTTCTTTTAAATAGGCTCAAAAATAGCTATGTTGTGTAATTTAATGATTAAATGTAATCATTAAATTTTGTGACAGAAAAGCTATTTCGGCGACAATTTGAAAGCAAATTTCGTGACAGTAATCAATAGAAAAATGTAAAATTAACACAAAATTGAGATAATTTAGATAATAAAAGAACCGTTTCAAATGCGCATGAGCAGCTAGTTCATAACTAAAAGGCGACCCTAGCGGCTTATGATGACTTTTCCAAACATTGGTTGCCATGCAATTCTTAATCCTTATGATGCTTTCTACCTGTCGGTTATAAAATAAAATAATGTTCAAAATCATCCTGCATAAGGAAACAAATATTAAACCATCAAATCAAAATGAGCCTTAAGCAATTTTTAAAATTATATATTTTTTATTAATTTTAAATAATTAATCTTCAAAAAGTATTCATTTTATAACTGCTGTTATTTTAAACAGCTTCGCAGAAAAAGAAACGCAATTTCATGACTGAAGAAATAATTATTAATGAATAAAGAACGTTTTTAACAGATAATTATTGAGATTTGTAAAGAAATTACCTTATTAATTTTTCCCTCTCTGCTCATGGGATCAAAAATACTTCAGATTTCAAAGACCTCATTATTATTGAAGATAAACACTAGTATAGAAAAAATTGCCATAAGTAATTTTAGAAAACTCGAACATGAAAAAAAAAGAGAATGAAATATTTCTGTTTAAACAGTTGCAATCCAATACTCGAGTGAAAGTTGAATAAATAAAAATGTTTTATGAGAATATTATCAAAATAACCTTTTTTTTAGAATTCTTTGATTGGAATCTTAAATGAACTTTTTTTCATTCCAATTTTAAATTATTTTACAAATTAAAGCTAGACTAAAAAAAATAATCACGAAAAATAAATATATGTGCATATCTATGTAAAAAAAAAAGGAAAAAATTAATCCTACAAAGCCTTTTGGTTGAAATTATGCAGATATAAATAAGTTGTTACTTTGTTTTACAACTAAGTCATTAATTTGGTTCAGCCATTTCATTTACTTTATTTACTGATTTTTAACAAACAGTTAATTATTTGTTTTTCGGAAGAAAGACTTTATGTTTGCAAGTTTTTGGGAGAAAATAATTAGCTAAATGAATTTCAAAAGCTTTTTTCTCTATAATTAATGTATGTTAAGGTTGAGTGAAGAATATTTTACAAAAATAAATGAAAAATGTACGATATTATAAAAAAAACAACCATTTTAACATAAGAAGTTTTATTTCATTTACACGTAGATAAATATTTAGATGAAAAAAAAACTGAAATTGTAATTTCTATTTTGAACGCTATTTTAGATAATTTTTTATTTATTTGCAAATTTCTTTTGCTTTAAAAATAACTTTAACAGCGGAAGAAAAATATTTTCTTTAAAGAATTCTTTCATAAGGTAAATATTTGTAGATGTTAAAAAACTTTAACAATTTTAAGTGGTATATTATAAAGTATATTAAAATAAAATAAATAAATAAATTAATTAAAATCGATCAATTTAGTTTTTTTTTCGTGGTTATAAATAAGTTTAATATTCATCGATCCAAAATTTTGGCTCATGTTTCATACAGTTTTTTTTCTTCTCAAAATCCAAAATTATGAGTATTTTAAGTAAAAATTATCCCTTTCATATAGAAAAAACCTCAATGTATTTTAATCCTTTTAGTATTATTTTTCCTCTGTACAATTATAAAAACTATAAAGTTAGTATTTTAAAAACAGAGACATGATTTAATATATAAAGTTGAACTTTAAAACACAATTTCTCTCTTTCTGTACAGAAAAGAACTATATAAAAATAGTGTTGTGTGCATCACATGGCCATTCGGAGGGGACACTAGGGGGCCGTCCACAAATGATTTCACATTTGGAGGATAGGGCGGGTGTTGGAGAATTTATGACAACTTGGAGACAAGGTGGAGAGAGGGGTAACAAAAGTGTGAGGACACACATAAGCAGAATTTAAAATAAGCAGATTAGATATTTTTAAATTGCTTTTTATTTTTCTTCTTCATGAAAATAAGTTCATATGCAATCCTCATTATAATAAGGTTCAGAAAGGTCCGAAAACTCATAGTTAAAAGCTTAAAAAAGTTAAAAATATTATCCGAACAGCTAGTATATTTTTAATATAGCTTGGCATAACTGGCATGTGACAAGGGAGGTAGGGTGAAACGTGGCATTTTATGACAAAGAGGAGAGGGAAAAAGTGTAGCATTACTTATGAATGATCCTAAAGTGAAACTCTCTAAAAATATCTTTAATCACAAGCAGTATATTTTTATTTAAATATATGTAACATTCTTAATTACTTTATTACTGTTCAATTTGCTTTTTATAAATTCTGCAGATGGAAATTATCTAGATTTCAAGAAACAATAAATCTTATTGAAAATAAGTAAATTAACTTGTTAATAAAGACATTTTACTCCGTCGTCAAGAACTCAATAAGTTTCTGTTTACTAGAAAATAAATTAAAAAATAATATCAGGAAAGGGTAACCTTATAAAGTAAATAAGAAAATCCCATGTTATTATTAAACAAAAATTTTAATGTATTTTCTTTTAAAATCCAATAACTAAAAAAAAGATCAAATGCTGGTGCACTACACAGTTAATTCTCAAAAAATTTTAAGTTTATATTTAAAGCAGATTTAAGGGGGCACAGCTGTAACTGGTAGCATCTGTAATGGATCGAATACAGTAAAACTGGTTTTATTATTGCAGATTTAACAGCTTACTTTCATGAATAAATTAGTATTTTATAAGTGGTGTTGAACAGCTGACTCGCGTTTGCATTTCATGGTGAGGAAAACCACGAAAACTTCGCACGGTCAACTCATTTTAATCATTGATCCATCTACCACTGAGGATATTTTACGTCAGCACTGTGGTTGGTGTGAGCTGGGAGCAGAATTCGTACCAACCAACCACAGCTGGGATTCGAACATGGGTCACCTCATTGGGAAGCGAACGTCCTATCCCCTGAGCCACCACTGCTCAATAAATGAATATTCTAGAGTGTAAAAATATTTCTATTTGATACAGTTTAGAAGTTAATGAATAATATAACTATGCCATTCGAGCAGTCAAAGAGAGGCGCCGCCCCGCTGAGCATGATTGCATTCCTTAGAATGATTCTGCATCATTATACCCAGCTGCGCTCATCATATTTCTGTTATGCAGTGTCTTTTTTTTAAATCTCATCTGATATCTACTTATAAATTTTTGAAAACCGTCAGTCTAATTTAGATCGTTTGTTGCTTTTTTATCATGTTAGTCTGATGCTTTTCATATGGTTTCAAACTGGGTACCAACTTTTACAGTCAACACTCGTATTTTCAATACTTATTTTTTCTGCATATTTAATTAAAATGTAATATTTCTACACATGTATTTACCTTTTATGTGCAGAGATGATTTTCGCTTGGTGTGCGAACAAGTGTGTCATCACCCTCCAGTGAGTGCTTTCCATGCTGAATCAGAGGACTTCCAATTCTACGGCAATATTCATCCGAAACTGAAATTTTGGGGAAAATCTCTCGAAATCAAGCCTGAAGGAACCCTTACTGTATACCTGAAAAAGTAATCCCCTTTTGATCAATAAATTGCAAATAACCTACAGCTTTTCTATCGATTGTCCCAAAAATGACTGATGCAATTTAAAAATCAAAGGAAAAAAAAACAACAAAAAGAAATGCGATAAAGATGTAAGGTTTGTGGCAATATGCTTAGGAATCTAGGGAATCTCATTTCACCAAATTGCACATTTAGTAAACCTCCGGTCAATAGGTGAAGCTGAAGGCATGCGAGAGCAGAAAAAAATTTTAATCTATGTGAAGGATTTTGATGATGGTTTACACCAGGGATGGGCAAACCTTTTTTGGTCGAGGGCCAAAAATCGAGAAAAAAAAGTTTGGTGGGACGAGTAAAACCTTCTAAAATAAAAATTCTAACTTGTAAAATAAAATAAAGTCAATTCATCATTGAACGCATGGCACTCTACATCAACTTTGCATCTTTCAGTTGCCATTTTGGGGTAAAAAAAATTTTACCAATAACTCAAAAAAGCAATAGCCATTTTATGCATTTAATAATTTCACCATTATTTACAATGACGTTGTTTATGTGCAATCTTTCCATACGCAGTAAGTGATGTTAGAACTCGCTCCGGCAGAAAAATCCGCGCTTTGGAGCTTAAAATGCGCAGTCTGCCACACGTGCGCAGTCTGCCACACACCAATTGAAGCTGTCTGTGCTAACTATTTCCATCAATTTATGTTCTGTAGAACAAAAATAGAGAAAGTAAAAAGGTCATCAGTACTTTGTTAAAAAAGAAAGAGCAAAAATAGCTCTAAACAAAGTTGACAAGAAAATTGATATATAATGTATATTGTTTATATTCGCCATGGATCGGCAAGTTAAATTCTGTCCGCGGGCCGGATAAAACCTTCTGGTGGGCCACAGTTGGCCCGCGGGCCGTAGTTTGCCCACCCCTGGTTTACACGTTAGAAAAACGCATATTAATGTAGTTATTCCTATTCTTTAATGCCACCTATTGGCGAAGAGTTTAACAAAATGTGCTGTTTGGAGGGATGAAATATCTAGTTTCCTAAGCATATTGTCTCAAACCATACTTTTTTATTGCGTTCCATTTTTTTTCTTGCTGATTTTCAAGATTTATCCGTCATTTTTGGTACAACCGGTATTTCTTAAAACCGACCAACAGACAAACTGTAAAAAAAATTTCGCAATTTTACAGTAAAGCACTGGCGAAACTGCCAGAAATTTTCCGCATACTACTGAAAAAAACCAACACATAGACAGAAATTTTCTGTAACAAAACCGCGCCAAAAATTTTCATATATAACTTTTTTTTCCATAGTGCAAAGTACGGTAAAACTCAGCATAGTTGGCTTCAAATAATTAGACATTGATTATGATCTAAACGGTTATGTCAAAGCGAATGGTGGTACGAGGCGATGCTGTATAGTGTTGACTTAGAGAGGAAGTTGCGTGGTCACAAATGTAGTTCGTTCGACATCGGCTGGGATCGTATTAGGAACAGTTGGGTCTTTAGAATAATTTAATAGAAAAGGGTGTACGTATACACACTTTTTCAGAAAGTTTTTAATAGTTGCTGCCGCAGAAACGATTCATCTGTATGAAATAGGCTCGGTTAAATAAAAGAAATTCGTTGCCTGCAGGAAATGTTACTTCACAGATCATCTGCAGACACTGGATTTAGTAGAAAAAGAAAATATCAAAATCTCCTGTTCCGATATCAAAATTTTATTATTCAAAACAGAGAAATGTGCACCTAACAATTAAAATTTATATTAATGGACTCAGATTTTATATTTTTACCGTCGAATTGTGTCTTTTGTCAGATTGAGATGCAATTTTATAGTAAATTTCAGTAGTTTTAAAGAACAGAAATTCTCCATGGGCAATTTACTGAAATTTTCTATTTTTTATCAGACATTTTCATACAGTGCAGTTTTAGTAAAACTTATATTATGAATCATACTTATTCGTAACTAGAATTTATTCGTAACTAGTTTTAGCTTTTGTAAAATAAAATAGCTTTTCCGTCAAATTAATTTTAAAATAAGTTTAATTCAAAAACACACATAATGCAAAAGAATAGTTTCACGAATTTAGAGTAAATTAATAAAAAATAAGAAAATACAAAGCCATTAGTATTTTTTTCATAAAAATTACTTTTCTACAAACTTAATGTAAAGCTAACAATTAAGTACAACAATTTAAATATTTATCATCGGTAGTTTTTGCTATTATGGGTAACACATTCTTTATTTTATTTTACTGGCTTCAAAAAATCGAAAGAGAATCGAAGAAGAATCGAAAAATTAACGTTAGGAGCTTTTTGTTCTCTTCCGAATACAGAACTATAGGCAAAAATTTCATTATTGGATTGTTATTCTAATCTTAATGTATTCGCACACATAGTTTTTGTCATTAACCGTTACAAAATAGTTTTTCCAGCGATAATTTACAAAACGATATTCGTGATAAGTTTAAACTGCTTTCATCAGCGTTCGATTTTTTGTGTACAGCAAAACATCCAGTTGTAACAATTACACATGAAACTCTCATTATCGGAAATCAATTTAAATTGTCAAAATGTAAGTATAAGAAGCTTTCTTTTTAGGTTCTGATTCAGTGTCGATGCTAGGAATCTCGGCCTTTTTAGGATTGTATATGTTTAGTCATTAAATGAACTAAAAATGGAAATGATATTTAGACAAATGACAATGAAAGTGCTATGACATTTTGTTATAAATAGAGAATACTGAAATTTTAATAAAACTAATGTAAATCTGAATAAATGTATATTTATTGTTATTTTTAAAGAAAAATATGGCTGTTGAGAACACCGAATTCTTTAAAATTTGTTCATGAAACAAATTTAAAATAATCTCATCCTCTCCCCCCCCCTAGTTTTTTCCTCAATAATATCTTTAATGTTAAAAGTTAATTAATTAGGCTTCATGCATACAAATTTATATTTTAATTAAAAAAAAATCAGTGAAATACTCAAAACTTTGATTCACAGTACATATTAAGCTTCGCTTCACACTTTACATTTTGGGGATTAATACTTAAAGAAATACGTATATTAATGATATCACAAGTGTTCCTATAATGTTTTCAAAAACAAAGATTCACAATTTATAGTTTTAAGAATCTCAGAAAGCCAAGCTAAAAATTAATATTAATTACTGTATAGCATTAAAAAACATGACTCTTTATTTTCAGGCATAACGAAGTGTATACATGGACAAATGTCCACTGCTGTGTTCACAATATTATAATTGGAAAACTATGGTTTGAGCAGGTGAGTATCAACCACTTTGTTTACAAAAATGTATCAGTACACTGTGCAAATTAACTGGGACAAACACAAAAAATTTCACGCATGTAGTTTAATTAGTATGAGTTTTATTACAAGCAATCTAGTTGGGAATATGTTCTTCAGCTTTGATAAAATCTCCATCTAAAACCATTATTACACATTTATTTTTTCGGAGTTGTGCTGCTCACCTTATTCGTGTCTCGTCACAATTTTCTATGGATTAATTTTCATCAATTATTTTAATGTCTTAAAAATATTGATTTACCACCTTACAATTATGACATTCAGCAATCTAGTTGAAACAAACAAACAACCACCGTTAGTAAATCTTTGCGTTACAAATACAATTCCGTCTAGTATTGGAATGTTTTTTTTTCTTCGCGTTCATTATTCCTTCTTAATTCTTTATACACTGTAAAAAATTACGGTAAAAAATACCGGCACACAGGGTGCCGATCCTTTTTACCATTGAATCCATTTTTACTGGAACAAAAAATCTGACAAGCCGTAATTGTTACAGTAAATACAATAAAATCACTGAATCAATCTAATTAAATAAACATTACGGTAAAAATTAAGGTGTCATATTTCACGGTAAAATGGATTTTACGTATGATGCAGCCAAAGCTTTATACCTTAACTTGATAAATAAAACTTTTGCTTTTGTCGATGTTGAAACTGTTTGTATTCCTCGAAAGGTTTCGTCTGATAAATTTAGATCGAAATCATTAGACAAGAAAATAGAACGTGTTTCATCATTGAGTACTTATATTCAAGACTACGAAAATTCAGAATTAATCAGAGAATTCTTTTAGCCCAATTCAGGTGCTATCACTTCTTTGAAGATGTTAATTGTTTTACAGATTGGCGTTCTTGTTCAGCCTCTGGGTTCAATAAGAAAATTTTAGTAGCTGCTGAAGCCCACCTTGTGATGTCCATTTGGTCAAATCGGTTCAGGTCTAGTCAAGGTCAACCTCTTGTATAAAAATATAGTTGAAATCATCATAAGTGAAAAGTCTCTATTATAGGTAGAATTTAATGAAAAAAGAAGATTCTCTGAATTTATTTGCACAGCACTGTAGTTAAACAATATAAAAATGACATTAAAATATACGAAAGAAAATTTTATCATCATATCAGCATATAAAAAAAAATAATGATTGCAATTCTGAAATGCTTCCTTTATGCAAAAATATTATTAATTAATTATCCCTGGTTCTTGTGAATATACGAGAAAAATTATTTCGGTTACAAAAAAAAAAGCCAGAGGTAATTTATTCCATTATATATTTCACTATATACAATTATTCCATCAGTAAAAAAAAAAACTTTTAGCATAAATACTCAGGGCATTGTATGAAACGTCGTTATTTTAAAGAATATCTAAGCATTACATATAATGCTTAACATTTGCAGGCAATGTATGAAAGATAAGATATATGAAACATTTTACTAACCATTGAATACAATAAATAGAAATTTCATGGAATATAAAATAATCTTTCCGCAAAGTATGGAAAAATGTTACGTATAACAGTTGTACTTTAAAAGATATCTATTCTTTAACAATATAAATGTTATTTTGGATAAAAAATATGAGAGACTGCCATTAGGGGTAGTAAATTAATTTTTAATCCAGGAAAAAAAACCTATCGAATTCTAACTAATCTCTATTGAGGAAGACTAGACTAAAACCATCAAAATTTGCTTGACTGTCAGAAAAAAAGAGAGAAGATTTGAAATGTTGAACATTTGTAACTTTCAAGTGGCAATCAAACTGATTTTTATATTTTATATCCTATCTTTCTCAAAACTCATTCATGTTTTCGATAACAAAATGTTTTTCCTTTGCTTAAATTTTAATTTTAATAAATATTGCGAACACTTTTTTGACAAAATTTTACCAATATTTTGCATACATATTAAAGGCGGTCATCAAGAACACTCTGAATAGTTATAAGCAATAACTTATCAAAAGTCAACATTCTATAGAATATCTAGGCATTTTATAAAATTCGTGATGTGTTTCATACTTTGACACTTTGTCGTTTGGTATTCTAAAGAATGCTTAGGCAAAAGATAAAATATTTAATCGTTTTGTGCCTCGGCGGCAAATTTTCGATATTTTTTAGAATGCCTATTATTGAACTTTGTTGGTAACATAAATCCATCCACGATACTTACACACACGTCACACGCACAGTGGTTTTAAGCAAATAACAAGCCAATCAAAAATCTTTGAACACAGAAAAGTCATGTTAAAAAATTGTTTTGCAAAAGTTTTGAATTCTTTGAAACCTCTCAAAACGTCTGAAGTTTTTTTCAAACATTGGAAGCTTTTAACGAACGACAACCGAGAGACATAAACGTAACCCAAAAACATTTTATGAAATCAAAATAAGTCTGGAACATTCCGTCCGCAATTGCAAAACCAGTTTTTACAAAAATTCCTCAACTGTCTGCTGTTGTATGAGGCAATTGAAAAGTTGAATTTTATTCGTAGAAAAATAGAGAAAGATTTAAAAAAAAAGTTTTTAAAAACCTTACGTCAAAATCATAATAAACATTTTGAACTTGTTATTATGTTAAACTGTAATTTTTAACGTTTGTATATTTTATTAAAGTGTTTTAAGATTTAAAAAAAAAAGAAAAAAAAAAGGATTTTAACAAATTCATAAAAATTTTCGAAAGAATATTATCAACAAGAATTATTTAGTTGTTATTAGTAGCGATTATAAGTTAATTAAAGAAATTAATAGTTCAAAGTAAAAATAAGTTTAAAATTGAATTTTAAATTGAAACAATACTTTATTTTCGTGAATTTTAATGGATAAAAAAAAATTAAAATTAAAAGTTTTTAAGGAGCTATTGTTTTTAGACCCGAGTCTCTATAATTGTTTTAGACATCACCACAAACTGAAAAATAACTGCGGGTTTAGAAAATATAATACAACTCTTTATCAATTCGCTTCAGAACAAAAATAGCGCAATATGCGCACACGTTGAAATTTATGATGAGGAAATGAGGATGGGACAGTAGTTAATAGCTTCGAATATCCCAACTCACACGTTGAAATCTATAAAGAGGATGGGACAGTAATTAGTAGCTTCAAATATGTTGATACAAATGTTGAAATCTATAATGGATGGGACAGTAATTAGTAGCTTCAATATGCTAACTCACATTTTGAAATCTATAATGAGGATAGGAGAGTAGTTAATAGCTTCAAAGCATGAATTTTAAATAGTAGTCAATTCGCTATAACTCGAAGTACGATAACTCGAATATTACTATAACTCGATTTTTTTATGGGGTCCCGACCCTTTTATCTTCAATTTCATGTTAATTATTCTCGATTACTCGAATTTTACTCCCTTTAACTCGATTTTTTTTGGATCTTTCAAAGCAAAAAAAAAAAAGAAAAAAAAACCTAGGAGCTGATATCTTGCCCCTTCCTTTGCAACACACACACAATGTCTTTCGCACTCTTCATGGAGAAGCTAAAGCTGTCCCTCTTGAAGTATGTGAACAGTGGTTAAATGAAACGTTACCAAATTTACTTCAAGGATACAGTTAAAATGATGTTTTCAATATTGATGAAATGGGTTTATTTTTTAAATGTCTTCCAAATAAGACTATGATGTTTAAGGATGAAAACTGCTCAGGGGGTAAAATGAGCAAGGAACGTTTGACTGTCCTAGTTGGAGGAAATGCGTCTGGGACAGAGAAATTGCCCTTACTTGTTATCGGAAAATACCGAAATCCCCGATGTTTCAAGAATGTAAAAACGTATCCTTTGGATTACAAGTCTAACAAAAAGTTTTGGATGACATCAGTTTTATTTGAAGACTATGTAAGAAAATTGGATCGGAAATTCTTCGCTAAAAAAAGAAAAGTGATACTCTTTATGGATAAATGCACAGCGCATAGTGATCTACCTAATTTGAAAGCAGTAAACTTGCAGTTTCTCCCGCCAAACACAACAGCAAAGTTGCAGCCGATGGACCAGGGTATCATAAAGTGCTTCAAACAGTCTTATCGTAAATGGCTTGTCAGAAAAATGATCTTAAATATTGTAAGCATTTAGAAGATTTGTAATTAATAAATAAGCATTAATTAAATAATCCGACAATATTTTGAATGTTCAAAACCGAAACTAACGGTAGGTCGAGCTTCCGATGCGTCGAAGTTTTTCGTCAGTCCTATCAGATTCGAGTTATCGCGAATTCACTGTATTTAGTGACATTGAAAAGTAAAGTTTCGTGTCCATAATTTTGATCGATAGAATCGAAAATATTTGTAAATAATAATATTTATATGTAATAATATTTATATAAATATATTCCATTGAGCTTTATTTTATTTTTATTATTTCTGTTCAACGAAATTAATGGGGCACATGGTCCTTGGGCTGAAAAAGATCACTTTTTAGGCCTAGTGCTGTGGCGAGCTAAGTCTGCAATGAACTTAAAATAACAATTTAGAAACCATTTCATTTACATTTGAAATTACTTGTCGCAAAATAGAAATTATTATTTTTATTTTACACCTCTCTCATAGTTAGGTTAAGTCTCTTTGCTATGCAAATTATTTTTAAAATTAATAGTTTGANAACTGAATGACGGTTCATATGGAAATCGCTGGTATGCGTCTCATACAACAACGCCCCCTATAGTTCGTTGCGATCGCGAATAGTAAACTAAATTCAACATCTTTAGATGATGTTTTGCTTGAACTATTGCTTTTTCTAACCGTAGTTGATTTATATGAAAAACTGAAACTGATAAAAAATAGCTTAGACACAAATTAATGCCGATAATGATAGATTACTATCGATATAAGTTAAACAAATAATTGAGAATTTGCAGTGACGCTATTGAGTTTCGAGTAGTATCCAAACTTATCTTTTGATACTTTTTTGATGCTAAGTATTGATACTATGTCACCACTGGATATGTTAGCATCATTATTTTTTTTAACGTTTTATTACCTTTAACGAAAGTTCAATAAAAATTGCCTTGCTGAACGAAACCTTGCAGAAACTAAGATTTTGTACAGCGTAAATCAGTCATATTAGTTTACACAGCTTATTTTTAATATATTTCAATATTTTTATATAACTAGATGTTTCAAATGTATAATTTGTTCTCCTGCTTTGTATTTTCTGATCAGGATTTTTATTTCCATTTTTATATAACCAGTATGGAATGATGGAAATTCAATGTCATACAACTGGTTTAACTGCTCAGCTGAATTTCAAGCCGGCAGGATGGTTTGGACGGGATTTAAACCAAATCGAAGGTTTCATAACAGATTCCCAGTGAGTGAATTTTCAATAAGTTGATATTTTTTTATAATAAAATGCGTAAGACATGCTTATATATCATCATTATCAATATTTACTCTTTACAGTTATCGTCATTTATATTTAATATGCATTATACTTTGCTTCAGATGAATATTAAGTTTATATCAAAATCGGGTTACTTTATTAACAGAAACGTTATTACAAAACATACAATTAATGATAATAATACAATGTTTTAGATAATGTCTATTCATACAAAAATACCTTAAATTTTTAAAAAAATAATATATTAATAAAAAAAATAAATTAATCAATAAAACTAATAATAATACTAACATTAATAAAACCTTTTTGAAAAATGAAAGCAGAATACACGAGATTATTATTTTCTAAATAACGGTGGTATCAATTTTTTAGTTACTTTATTTAGTTACTTAGATTATGTTAATACATTTTATTGAAAAATAGACGAAAAACAAACTTAAATTTAATAACTCGAAAACAAACTCGAAATTTGAAAGAAGACCGAAATCCTTTATACTTTCAGGCACAGCTGTAAAATAATATAATTTTGCTGCAATTAGTGTACCTTAAGAAATCATAATTATGACTTCCAAATAAATTCGAAATTTAAATTAAGGGAGATGAATGACACATTTTCTGACACAAATATGCATGACGGCAAGAATCATAAATTCTATAGCTAATAGTTTTAGATAAACTTAATTACGCTGTACGGAAAAGAAAATCTAAAACTTTGACATAAAATATCTCCGCATCAATAGCAGAAAGATGACGAACTCAACGCTTAGGTACGTTCACTGAGTACACATCACGTACGAAGGATGAGTGCAGCGCAGTTATCACAAAACAACCTCAACAGAGTTAGTGCAGAACTTATGTACAAAATGCTACATTGAGCGAACATTTTCGTATCTTGAATCATTTCTCAAAAAATGCACAAAATATCGTACTTTTTTAATTTAAAAGGTTTTTTGATTCAATTTTAAAGGTTTTTGCACAGAGGATAGGCACCCAATGAGGTGACCAGGTTTAAATCGTAACGATAGCGACCTTACTCGGCTCACCGACATGAAGAATGCCCGACGCAGATTTTCTGAAAGAGAGAGACTGTGGTGACTGCAGGTTTTCGTACTCGCACCGACAGTGCTGACGTAAAATATCCTTAGTGGAAGTCAGATCATGGGTTAGAATCCCCTTGCTGTCGGACTAACCGTGGGAGGTTTTCCTCTCTATGTAAAGCAAATGAGGTTGGTTCCATCAAAAAGTCTTCGACGCAGGCTAGTTAGTCTCAGTGCTTGATCCAGTAGTTACATTGTCTTCAGGGTTGGATTTAAAGTTACAAGGCAAAGGACATTGATGGTCATAAACTCAGAATCAGGTCGTCTCTTTAACACCGGTTATAAAATAAAAATTTAAAAGGTTTAGCGGCGTTGCGAGAGGAGAAAAAATAATGCCCAATGCAGATTTTGTGAAAGAGAGACGACTGCAGGTTTTAGTTTTTAAAAATAGAGAAATAAAAAATAAATTATACTTAAAATATTAACACGCATACTTATCCATGCATATTTCAAATAAGTCATTCCTTCCGCTTTATCGTATGCAGATAAACAGTCTTATTTAAGTAACTCTTCCAAAAATTAGAACTGTTTAAATTTAAACCGGTTAAATCCAACTTTAACAAGTTATTTTATTTGAATGACATATTTAGTCACCTTGAAAAACGTCATGTTATCTACACTGGCATTTGATACTTTTTTAATTATTTGAAATAAGAACACAAAAAGTGTTCGTGAAATTGTTTGCATTTTTTTTTTAAAATACTGCAATTTAATGGCAGGGTGGCATTTTAAAACTTCATATTTAAAAAAATTCTAAAAGTAACAAGATATTTCGATTTTTGCATTATTTACGTATTTTGGTTCATTCACGCCCAAGCCTCATTCATAAATAATAGTTAATGAACAAAAATTAAATTAAAATAAGATCACTTTAAAGTGGAATAAACTGGAAAAATTAAAAAAAAAAAAAAAAAAAAAAAAAAAAAATCCAGCTTGAAAATGGTTTAGTTAAAAAATTAGAAAAATTCCATATCAGCTCGCAATACAAAATATCCAAAAACTAAAATTATTAAAGCTGTAATTATTAGTTAATACTTGATACGCTAAAGATACAACATTTTTATTGTAAAAATGTTTTTTCTTTCTTTCAAACTGCCCTCATTGATGTTTTTATATATTTTAAAGTAACGTTATTAATTAAATAAAAGTAACATTTTATCTAATAAAAAGCAATATTTTAGCAAGTAAAAAATTTTTTTTTTATTTGCTGAAATGTTACTTAGAATGTTTTTTCATTACAATGCTCGTATGCCTCAAACTTAAAGTTTCAGCAAAGAAGTATATGTCTTTTATCTATATTCAAAATTAGATAAATTCAAAATTTGCGTTTCTAAAGTATTACAGCAGACAAGAACTTTTAATTTAAGAGTATTTTGACATTTTACTGAAATACTTTATCACTTCACTTTTTATATGGTATTTTAAATTATTAAATGTGGATGCCATTTTCTAACAGCTTGTACATTTGCTGAAAAATAATTATAGAATATTTTTGTTACTCTTCAATTTTGACATTTTAAGCAGATAATTCTTTTGTAGAAAAAAGAAATTGTGCTTTCTTTATGGAAAATGGACAAAATATCTGAAAATGACATCTCTTGAGGAACACGAGGAATACTTAAAGACACATTCAGATAAACACAAACATAACACAGGTAAGGATTTTTATTTTATTTCTTTAAAATGCACTTTATTTTAATGACACTTACCTTAAAAGATACATGCTATAATAATAATATACGAAATAATACAAGGTAATATTTCTCAGACACCATTGAGAGTATTAAAACAGTAGAGCTAAAACTATCGCTTCTCTATTCTTTGTGAACGATAGATACGGGAAAACGACAAATGCGGGTCATCTTAAAATAGTAAATAATGATTAGAAAATGCATGAAATTTAATAAATTCACAATAAGTATAAAAAAAAATTAATTGAAAAATTATGTACCAGCTATATAAATGCAAAAGAAGAATAAATAAATGTATGTATTTATTTAAAATATTTGGAAATTTTGGTTCATTTTCTTCTCGGCGCAAAGGACATTTATTACAGATTACAGTTCATTTATTGAAAATTCTTGAGAATACGAAATGTTTTCATAGCTTTAAAAGCCTTCCGCAATTGTTTGGTTAATTCTATGTTGAATGTGTATAAAGTTAAACAATGAGAAAAGAGCACAAATAATGCCACATAAATTGATATATCATCGTTTCGGTTCTATAATGAAGAACTTTCTTCACAGTCCCAAACACAAAAGAAAAGATGAAAACCCAGAGGTACATAAGAAATAACAAAACAGTTACAACAAGGAAAAAAGATGTTCAAATATCTCATTTTTCCAAATGCTTTGAAAACCATTTTTGTTTAATCTCTACAATTGCAATATCTTTTGAGTATTCTACGCCCACCACAATTTTTTCCCCTCAATCACTCTTCCTTAGTTTGATTATCTTCTCCCTCAAACCGCTTTTTTTGTTGTATCTTGTTTGTAATTTTCTTTTTCATCTCTGTGTTTCGACAATGAAGAAGGTTTTTATTATAGAACCAAAATTATAGTATGCCTATTTATATGATACTATTTGGTCTTTTTTCTCTATGTTTAGCATTATTTTCAGCTATCACTTCAATTTTTTCTACTGGACATAAAGTATTGCCGTGTGTGTAAAAACTTGTAAATTACTTTTAATCGCCTTTAATCCAACTCGGCTTAAATTAATGCATATTTAAGAACCTCTCTTTCTTTCTTTTTTTTTTAAAAGTCAAACCCAAATAAAAAGACCAAAATTAAATCCCATGTACCAGACATTAAGAGGTGTATTTAAACATTTATACGAGCAGTTTTAGACCTAAAAATACGTAGAAAAATCTTAATTTTTTTTAATGCATTTGTTTAAAGCCAAAATAATATAATAGTGATAACAACTAAGGTATTAATTTTTAATAACCATGTTTCAGATGGAGGTAATGCAGAAGATTCAAACCACGATACTCCATCCAAGAAAATATCCTCAAAACTGAACATCCTAACAAGATCGTTTACAGGGGGTGGTTCTAGATCACCGGAGCCTCCAGTTTCTCCTCATGTAAGAGTCTTAACTTGTAAAGAACTCGAAATGTGTGTTATGCAAGGAGTTAAACTACCAATGGTCTAAGGTACAACATAGTGTTGTACGATTTTCCTTACTTAAAGTGAAAGGGCTCGTTCACAATATATATATACATATGTAGGAGTTTATGGAGCATAAGAGGAAATAACGACAATAATTTAACAATCAAACGTTGTTCTATGATATAAAGTTAAGAGTTAATTATAAATTCGGGAGTTTTCCCGTCTGGATTCGCTGGCGCCTTTCAACGACGAAGAGGATGATGAAATTCCCTAAAGTATTACATGATGACGGCTGATGTAATTATATATATATATATA